ATCTGAATAAATTTCAGAATCTTATAAAATCTTATTTTTTTCGGTCAAACTTTTACAGAATCTTATTTGTTAGTGAAACTGTTATTCTATACAATATCCCTATTCGTGATCAATCAATTAACACACAAAACAAATTCCATTTCAATTGAACTGAACAGTGAAGGCAAACACAAAGCTACTACCCCTCTACAGTCGATCTTCTATCGTAGCTTCCACTACATCAAAAAAAGTCGTGAAGAATGAAGATTGTCTAGACAAATTTCCACAAATAACAATTGTATATATGGCATGTAATTGACTTTCAGGCTCAACATCTCAAGAAATATATGGCATGTATATTATCATGCGTGAAAGTTGACTTTTACAATTGTATATATGGCATGTAATTGACTTTCACGCTCAACATCTCAAGAAATAAAATATATGGCATGTAATTGACTTTTACCCAATTACATGTCATATTTACTCAGTTACAAATGATGAAGAATAATAAATTCTTATTCATTCCTTAATTTTTTCACCATTTAGTAGGAATATTGTTTCCACATTATTTTTTACCATTCCTTATTCTAAAAGGAATTATAGAACAAAACTATTCTTTATCAAATTTGAGGAGGGACAAAATATATTTATTTGTTTTTTTTTTTCATTCTCATTCATTTCTATTATTTTGTTCTTTTCATTCTTTTTATTTTTATTCATGTTATTTTTTTAATGGTCACCAGTTAGAGCCAACATCTTTCAAAAAGAGATGGTATCTTTTTGTTTTGTTCCTTTTAATTTCATATCAATACGCTGTCAAAAAAAAAAAAAATCATATCAATACTAAATCCAATTCAACACTGGCTCTTCCAGTTCCCACAAAGATTGTTGTCATAAAAATTGTTGTCATAAAAATTGCAGAATAGAGAAAGGACTTCGTCATAGTCTTTAAAACCTCTTTTATGACTTACTATACATATCAATTCATCGTGTTTTTATATATAAGATCTTAAGCGAATGTGGGATTACATGTATCTTTGTCTTTCACGCTCTAACATCTCAAGAAATCATGTGTATTGTATTATTTATTTTATTTGTTAATATTATTTTTTGATTATGTAAATTTAGTTGTATCATTTAATTAAATAACTCTAAAAGTGGTAATACTAATAATGTATATCAATATTATTGATCGGGAAGCAAATAAGCTAGTTGATAGCCTAGCGAATTACGCTTTCTCCCTTTCTTTAGGTTTTTTTTACTTTGAGTCTGTTCGGGAGAGTATTGGCCCGGTTTTGTCGGATGATGCCAATGGAGTAACACACGTTTGCAGTGTCAAATTGTAATGTGGTTTTGATTTTAATAAAAAGTGAGGGACATTGTCTCTCACACCTCTACCAAAAAAAAAATATTATTGATTGATGCAACTAGTTTCATTACTTATATTAACTGATGTTAATATATGTTATTTGCAATAAATGATATTATTATTTAATCTAGTTAAAATAAATGATATTAATATTCACATCACTTATAATAAATGATATTAATATTTACTATCAGTTATAATAAATGATGTTACATGGTATTATGTAAATTATAAATCAGGATTATTAAAAAACATGTTGATTTTAAATTTTATGTTAATTTTTTTAATATTATAAATTTAAGATAACTAATAATTTTATACTCCCTCCGTTCCTAAATAGTTGATGTTTTAGAATTTTTCCTTGTTCCATAAAGAGTGATGTTTTAGAGTATTAAATATATTTTTTTATAAATTTTAAGAAAAATATTTAAATATTTAAATTACTATTGGTTAACGGTTGTTAAAGAGTAATGATTATAAAAAAGTAATGCATTAATAACTAAAAAGTAAATGTTTCTTAATTTATGTGAATAAGCCAAAACATCATATTTTTGAGAACGGGGAAAGTATTTTTTATTATTCTCTACCTATTAATTGAGAATATAGTTTAATGAAAAAATGCTGATTTGCTTTAATTTGATTGGTTAATATTTTTAATTTGAGCAATTTTAATGTGACATGGAAATGATGATATATAATGATGATGTAATTGTGACATGTCAGTTTTTAGTATACATGACTTGCAACATGGCATTATTTAATTTATAAATAAAATTTGATATTTTTATTTTGATACAAAATTGAAGTATTCAAATTTTTGACAAAAAATTGGAAAAATTATATTTTTTTCAAATAGATTTGATATTATATTTCGACAGAAAAATTTTGCTAGAAAAATTTACAGATTTCAAGTATTTAGCGGAAAATTTGTGACAACCTATTTAGCCAGAAATTTTTTGATATCTCACGAAATCAAATTAAAATACTCTAAAATAAATGTTTTAGTGTGAAAGTTACAAATTCATGTTTTTGGTAAAAAATTTCTGAAATCGGGTTTTCACGGATTTTTTTCGAAATTATATTTTAAAATAAGTTTTTTTGTACGGAAGATTTACGGTTTCACTTATATAGCAGAAAATTCATGAAATCAAAATTTTGGCTGGTAGTTTTTGGAATCACATTTTTAATGTAAAGTTTTTGGCGAAATTTTTTATGGATTCACTTTTTGGCACAAAATCAAAATTTTGATAAAATGTTTTTAGATCATATTTTTGATGTAATTCTTTTGGTGCAATAGTTACTTATTCATGTTTTGGCATAAAATTTGTGAAATTAGTTTTTTGATGGAAATTTTTGAAATCTTATTTTAAGTAAGTTTTTAACGAAATATTTACAAGTTCAATTGTTTGTGTGAAATTTTGTGGCATCAGATTTTTAGAAGGAGAATTTCTTCATTTTTATTATTATCTTATTTTGTCTCACTATAAATAAATATCAAAAGTTTATATTATATGTGAATGTATTTCATTTATATAGTGAGAATTACAAATCATGAATATGACGTAAAGTGACAGAAAAAACTATAAAAAGATGAAAAATATAAATAAAAAGTAGAAAATAACAAATAACGAAGAATCATTTTATTTTATTTTACGGTTTTTTAAAAATATTTTAAGTTTTTTGTATGTTTTATTTTTTACTATGGCCCAATTTCTCAAATCTATTAAAACATTGTTTCACAAACAAAAATTTCTTACAAATATATTACTAAACAGACCAACTTATTTATTATTAATGATATATATTGTTAATAATTAATTTTTTATAAAATTTTCATGTCCGCACATATGTGCGGGCTAACTACCTAGTCTGAAATATATGTAAATACATACATATGATTTAACATAAAAATAATTTTGGTGTTGATGAATTCCTTTTATAGAAGAGGAAACTAGTAATCTTTATCATTCTTAGCAATGTGAGACAAATAGTTGTTTAATTGAAATTTTATTTGCATCACTTTTATAACTGAAAGAAATATTAGCATATTGATGCTAATGTCAGTTGATCAAATGCTTCATTTATATAATTGATATAAACTTATATATTTATATTAGTTTTACAAAAGTAATATAAATTAATAATGATTTGTATCAGTTTTTTTAATTGATGTTAGTCAAGTTAGTATTAATATCAATTAAAAAACTGTTGTAAATATTTTTATATTTAGTGTCAATTTTTAATAAGTAATTCTAAATAGAATCAGTTATTTTATTGATAGTTATAGCGATCCAACGTTAACCAAGTGTTCTTACAAGAATTCTTTTCTGATGGAGCAATAAGCATCATTACCATGGTTTACATTTCCATTGTCACTCGTCAAGAACATTTGAAATAGGTCATGAGGTCAAGACGAGTGCCTTTGCTCTGACTTTGACTTGACCTCATGAGTCATGACCTATTTCAACTGGAAACCTATTTCTCATAGCATTACTTAGACACGAAAGTTTGTGTCTTAGCTCATTTACTTTTTCAGCTTCTTGTTACCGTATTTTGTATTTCTTTTTTTTTTTGTCTACGGTCATGCAACCATGATTCATTCATTGGAATTGGGTATAGAATCATGTTCGAATGACCTATTGTTTTAGAGAATGCATCTTCTTTTTCTAAGCTTAATCGTTTATATAGAAATTTCCATAAACGATCACTAAATTTTCTAGTTTTTAAAAATACGCATAAATGAAAATAAATTTTTTTCTTCCATATATAATACACTAACAAACATACAGTAGAACATCTATAAATTAATACTTGATAAGTTAATAATCACTATAAATTAATAAATTTTATCGGTCCCAAGTCGTCCAGTATAAAAATTAATAAATTTCGATAAGATAATAAGATAATAAGTTTTTTGAAAATCCAATGTAAAAATATAGTCCCAATAATTAGATAAATTAATAATTATATATTTAAGCATATATAAATAATATAATATAGTAAAATATAATTATATTATTGTTTCAAGTTTATAAAAATTGTTTGACCTATTTTTCAAATTCACTGATATGATAATTTCTAAATAAATTTTATATTGTTAAAAATATTTTTTTTTATTTTTGATAAATATTTTGAATTTAAACTAAAATATCTCTCTATAAATTAATAAAATATTGATTTTTTGATAAATTAATAATTATTAATTTATCAATTAATTAAGAACTTTATAAATTAATAAATTTTTGAAGTCTCAACATGGTTTTACTATGGTATACTGTGTTCATTTCTTTTTGAATAATGAGTTAAGATATAATGTTGTAGCGTCCTGTACAAGTTACCACCAGATTATGCTTGAGTAAATTGTATAAGAGCATCCACAATGGTGATTTTTTGTGAGTTTCTTAAGTAAAAAAGAAAAGAAAAAAAAGAAAGAAAAATGATGTGGCATATCCAAAACTTAGAATCGACTCTGATAGAAGGGTTTATAGAATCGACTCTAAAAATATGTATTGTTACCTGATTGGTGATAACTTTTTTTTAATTGTAAATATTTTATTTTTCTCTCTCGTTTCACTCTTCTCTGTTCGTCTTCTCTCTCATTTCAATCGAATTCCTTTTTTCGATTAGTTTCTTCGATCTCGAATAGTTTATGATTCTCTTCTCAATTGCTCGAGTCTCACTCCTTAGGAGAAGATCGGCCAGCTCTCTAACACGGCCGCTTCCGTTACTCGCCTGGGTATACCTCCGTACGAGTGGTGGTCCAAGTCCTTACACGGTATCGCCGATAACGGTCCCAGCGTCTCCTTCAAGAGGGCAGGAGAATCCAGGAGAGGATTCGAAGGTGGTTTCCGAATACGGTGTTGAGTTCATCAGAGGTTTTCAGGAAAGGAGGAAGACGAAGGTTCTGAAAAGGAGATTTGGTGGTGGCGATGATGATCTTGATGGTGATCGTTATGATGATGGTGGTGATAGAAAACTCATGTTATCTGCCTGTTGCAAGCATATCACTGCCTATGATCCTGAAAAATTGGGGAATTTCACCAGATACAACTTCATTGCTGTGGTAAGACTAACATTGTAACATCTCTTTTCTTCATTATGAGTTAAGCTTACGGAGTCAACTGAAAACTCTTGAAACTGAGGTTTATTAGATTAGGTTGAACAAGAAATATAAATAAATCATACTATTAGATCTGTAGCTGTTCTATAATTCTAGCCTTTGTTCTAGTTTCCGTAAACACCATTACTACTTTCTTCCAAAACATTTTTGTTCTCTATGATATCCTTAGAAGCACAATGCTTATATTTTCACTTGTCTTAAACTGATTCAACAAAACTTGGTCGTTCTGTAGCTGTTTCCTCGGAATCTCAATGCTTATATATTCACTTGTCTTAGACTGAATCACAACGAAAGCTCGGACACCTATTTTCACACCTGCTTGGTCAGCTCCAGCACCAGAAGTGAATGCTGATCTTCCTTAGCATGTGCATGAGCCTGCACATGTTCGGTATGATGCCCCTGTAAGAAGCTTTACCGCTGAGCAGACAAAGGAAGCTTTTGATATCGCAAGAAACAGCATTGAACTTCTTTCCACGGTCCTCTCCACTTCGCCTCAGTACCATGCTTTACAGGTAAATAAACTTTAGAATAATGAATAACACGGTTTATCCGCAATATATATATATATATATATATATATGTTTAATCTAGTTGCTCATTGACCAAATTTTGTTTAATCTCTATGATTTGCAGGATGGCTTAACAACGACACTTGTACAACAATGTCGTCAGTCTCAGAACACTGTCCAAAGAATCATCAAAACAGCAGGGGAAGTATATGCTTCCGCTGCTGCTCAGGTGAAGAAGGCCATGGAGGTTACACATTACTTGGGTGGTGAAATTAGGGTGGTCGTGAATGTTATCAAACGCTCTTGAACACTGATATGCGAAGAGAGCTTGATCATCTGACCAGATTCTTCAAAGCTGTTGTTGCTTACAAGAAGAAGATCGGTTTCAACGGTAATTCTTCGTCTAATTTTTTTATTTTTTTATTTTTTTAGAATCCCATAGAATCTCTCCAATGTATAGGTCTTAAAACTAAAAAAAAACTAATAGAGCTCTTAACTTAAATTAGTAGTATATTTAATATAAAATATGCTTAAAAACCTCAACATGAGGTTGTGCATTACTGATGTTCTAAGGAGGTGCATATCAATACGTAGTAGTGTTTATTCGCTGGAAATATATTTGCTGCGAATCATCTTCATCTTGATTTTTGTAATTTATGATTTTCCTGACGGCTTCACCAATTGTAAGTTCTTCCATTCACACCCGATTTTAACTGAGAAAACTAGTTTCACTTACTCTTTTGATTCAGTTAGGTTTCGTTTTGACAAGTTCTATTTTTAAGATATGTTTACTCTTTTAAATCTGTAACACCCTAGATTTAGGCCCAATAGGAAAAAGAAAGGTCTATGTGTCTAAAGCCCAAGAGGAAAGGGTATTAGGATTTTCTCAGAGTCTTCTCTATATAAACAGAGTTAGAGAGTTAGGATTTCCATCACAACTCCCAAAGCACACAGAGATAAAACCTAGGAACCCTAACCGAGCAAGCCGCCGGCGCCGTTCGTCTTCGCCGCCGACCGCCGCTGCCGAGGAGAGCCATCGTCATTCTGCCATTCCTAGCCGCCGTTTTCTTGAGTCATTTGCTTTCCGTCGTTAGATCTCTTAAATCCTAGATCCTTTTTTAGCTTTCAATCGATTAGGCAAAGGTGAGGATGTGTTCATGCCTTTCCTTCGATATCGTTAGCTAGCTTGTTCCTGTTAGATCTGACTCTCAAATCCTCTAAATCCCCTACAAGTTCTGTTCTAGGTCGTAACTTGTAGATCTGTGCTGTTTACTAGGTTGTTATTTACTTTCAGAACCTAGATCTAGATATGGATTAATATTGTTGATTGTTGCTTGATGTTGAATATTGCTTGTGAGAATTGTGAATCTGCATTGCATTGCATATAGTGTGTGAAAGCACAAACTGCATTAGGACCCAGCAGTGAGAAGGCACTGCTGGCATGATTGACGTCTGCGACAGAGGATGTGCTTGTCGTAGTGCCATGTGGTTCTCATGTTGACGAACTAGTCGTCCAGTGACTTAAGACTCTTGCGGAGATGCGTCCCCTAGCAAGGGTGTAAGACATACGAAACTTGCGGAGGTTAATCCGTGGGATACTGTAACGAGAGGCGTTCAGTATGCTCGCTTTGTTTATTGCATATTTGTTTGTTGATTGTTAAAAGAATCGTTAAACTGCGCTTGTTCGTTTGGCTCTAGCCAGCGACAGGTTTGGGTAATGGCATATGTGGTGGACCACATGTATCAATTCTCCTGGGTAATCTAAATTACTCATCCCCTCCTTTCTCTTTCCCCCTTGTGCAGGTGAGCAGGAGCAGCAGGAGTGATTGGCGTGTGATGGTGGCGAGCTGGTTCTCTAGTTCGGTCCTTGAGGTCCTTAAGACACATAGCTTTCTATTTCAAATGGTTTTCAGTTGGTTTTAAGACTTGATTATGATTAATTTCAGTTTAAGTTGGTTATTTACAAGACTATTTGAATTTATATCTATGGAATGAGTATTGATTTGGAGTTAATAATGTGGTTACTTGGTTGGAAATTTGAGTGTTTAACACGTCATCTCATATGAGGAGAGGCGGTGTTACAAGTTTGGTATCAGAGCCAAGGTTACCAGTCAAACCGGTTCTGATCCAGGAGACATGTTTTCAAAGTAAAACCATTTTCAAAAGTTTTTAAAAGTGGGTTTATGGTTTTCAAAAGTAAAACAGCATCATCACACCACGTCACTCTGCTCTCCGGGCTCAGTAAGTTAGTATTTTTAATTATCTTCAGTTCATCTTCATCTGCTGTCTACATCTACATTGTGTCTACTGTCTTCATCTGTTGTCTACGTCGTCTAGAGTCTGCTGTATTTGTATCTGCATTAGTTGTGGCTAATCGAATCGGAGGACATGATTCTGATTACTTATTCTTGTGAATAGATGCCACCAAAGGGACAGCGTTTGACTAGGGCTGCAGCACGCCGTGAGAGTGAGGAAGGAACCCAAACCACTTCAACAGGAAGTGTGAATGGAGGTAATACCGAGCGGACTCGTGCCAGGGAGCAGGCAGAGGAAGCACGTGCTCAAGCTTTAGCCGCGCAACAGGCTTTAGCTGCAGAACAGGACAGTGCCACCGCCCAGGCTCGGGAAGAGCAGGCGCGTGCGGATGAGCAAGCGCGAGTTGCGGAACAAGCGCGTATTGCAGAGGAAACTCGTGTAGCTGAGCAAGCTCGCATTGCTGAGGAAACTCGCATTGCGGAGCAGGCTCGAGCTGCAGAGGCAGCTGCTGAAAGAGAAGAGCTGTTGAGATACTGCGAGAGGTATGGAAATCCTCTTCGTGGAAACCTCAATGTGGAAGGAGTGTATGGAGGTGCCAATCCGCGCCGTGATGAGCCACGAGTGGAGCTACATTTACCCCCACTACCACCTTTGGGTCGTGGACGGGACAGGGAGCCTGTACCGACCTATTGAGAGGCTATGAATCACGTTCGTCTCATGGGAACTGAGATGTTTGCGGGCTGCAGACAACTGGAGAAAGAAGTTAGAGAGGAATCTTGATGGAGCAAGGTGTCCGCTAGCATACCGCAGGGACCTGGCCGTCCAGTACCTGAAGGACGAGGCGCTGGTATGGTGGGAAGGTCTTGTAGAGAAGGCTGAGGGACGGTATGAGCTCACCTGGGAAGATTTCAAGATGGAATTTTCCCGTAAGTACTTTCCTCGCGAGGCGATGGTGGTGAATGCATTCCAAGACTTGCGTCAAGGAAGCAAGACCATACGTGAGTACGGGGAGGAGTTCAGTCATTTGAGGAGATTTGCTGGTCAGCACCCAGGAGAGCAAGAGTTGATCCGACTTTTCCTTAGGGGAATGAGGGTTGAACTCAAGAATCGCTGCTCCATAAGAAGGTATGACAGTATGATTGACCTCGTAGAAACGGCTGCAACTCAGGAGATTGGAATGGAGGAGGAGCAGAAGGTTGCACGGAACGCCCAAGCAAAAGCCACTAAGGGGACGGAAACCCATAAGCGAACTTGAGATAATGCGAACCCGAGGAATGGACCATCGCATCCGTGTAACAGGTGTGGGAAGTACCACCATGGAGTGTGTCGCGGAACGGCATGCTTCAGGTGCAACCAACCGGGTCATATGGCTCGGGAGTGTCCAGCAGCTGCACCAGTGGAGTCATGCTACCGCTGTGGACGGGTAGGGCACAATGCAAGGGACTGTAGAGTGCTAGTACCACACGTAGGAGGCAATCAGGAACAGCTACCGCCAGCACCAAAGAGATACGCCCCTGGACCGCGTTTGCTCATGGCAGGAGACCACGCTGGTGTGGAACCGATCGCTGGTAAGTGATTAGTTGTTATGGTTTAGAAGTTTTAAGTTATGTGTGTTAGTTGTGTGTTTGTAAAGTAGAGCATTAGAAGTAGAAACCCTGTAGGATCGGTCCTCGTTGGAGGCATAGCAGCTCACACTCTGTTCGACTCGGGAGCTACCCATAGCTTCGTTTGTCCAGAGATAGTGAGGGTTTGAACGTTCAAGGGAACCTGTGTTCCGGAGTCCAAGGGGATCCAGACGGCAGAAACCGAGCTGGTACAATCCACGGGAGTGCACGTTAAAGTCTCCATAACGTTGGAAGGTGTGGATTTGCCTTGGGATCTCATAGAAATGGAGCTGAACCACTATGAGGTCATCTTGGGAATGGACTGGCTGACCCGATACCATGCGACTTTGGACTGTCATAAGGCAAGGGTCAGGCTTCCCAAGGAGGATCGTTGGATAACGTTCCAAGGCGTTCAGTTGAAGTCAGGGGTCAGAATCATCTCGATGTTGCAAGCAGAAGAGCTTATGGGGAAGGGGCATGAAGCATATATGGCCACCATTTCGATGGAAGAAGAGGAAGCAGTGGCAGATCTTAGTGCGATTCCTGTAGCAGCTGAATATGCAGACGTATTCCAGTCGCTGCAAGGACCGCCTCCCACGCGAGGTGATGCCTTTACGATTGAAGTTGAGCCTGGGACGGCGCCCGTATCAAAGGCTCCTTATCGTTTAGCACCTGCGAAAATGGCTGAGCTGAAGAAGCAGCTTCAGGACTTGTTGGATAAAGGGTTTATCCAGTTAAGTAGCTCGTCATGGGGAGCACCTGTGCTATTCGTGAAAAAAAGGACGGTAACTTCAGACTCTGTATTGATTATAGAGGTTTGAATAAAGTGACTATTAAGAATAAGTACCATTTGCCGCGGATCGATGAGCTGTTGGACCAGCTGCAGGGAGCCTTTTGGTTCTCGAAGATCGATCTTCCGTCGGGATATCATCAGATACCCATTGCAGAGGAGGATGTGAAGAAGACCGCATTTCGGACGCGTTATGGTCATTACGAGTTCGTGATTATGCCATTTGGACTGACTAACGCGCCCGCTATTTTGATGAAGTTGATGAATGACGTTTTTCGCGAACACTTGGATAAGTGCGTGATTGTCTTTATTGATGACATATTAGTCTACTACAGGAGTAAAGAGGAGCATGACAGGCATCTGCGGATCGTTTTGGAAAAGTTGACGGAGCATCAGTTGTTTGCAAAGTTCAGTAAGTGCAGCTTCTGGCAGAAGAAGATCGGATTCCTAAGCCACATAGTATCTGAAGCCGGTGTAGCGGTGGATCCAGAAAAGATCACTTATATTACCAACTGGCCTGCGCCGACAAGTGCTACTGAGGCCCGTAGTTTCTTGGGTTTGGCTGGGTACTACAGGAAGTATGTGAAAGGATTTGCAAGCATGGCCAAGCCATTGACAGCCCTAACAGGCAAGGACATCAAGTTCCAATGGACGGAAGCTTGTGCCAAGAGTTTTGCAGATCTGAAGGGATGTTTGACATATACCCCCGTTTTGGTATTACCAAGGACAGGTGTACCCTACGTGG